CTTTCCCTAGGCGACTTAGAGAAGGCTGTCAGAGAACTGGTGTTAAACTTATAGATGTTCCCAATGGGAGAAAAGATGCTGCTGATAAAGCTATCTTGGTTGACATGTTCTTATTTGCTCTTGACAACCCTCCACCATCCTCTATCATGCTTATATCTGGAGATGTTGATTTTGCACCAGCACTGCACATTCTTGGTCAGAGGGGATATACTGTAATTCTTGTCATCCCTGCTGGGGTGGGGGTTTCATCTGCCCTATGCAATGCTGGTAAATTTGTTTGGGACTGGCCTAGTGTTGCTCGTGGAGAAGGCTTTGTGCCTCCCTCAAAGGCTTTAGTGCCACCCCGTGGATGTCCAGTTGAGCTTGCTGGATATTTGATGGGGTGCCATATCAATGACAACCCTGATGGACCAAATGAAGAAGAAGCAATAGTTTATAGAGGTATGTCACAGAGCTATTATAACTCGAGGGAATTCTCAGTGGTGTCACAATCTCTGTCTGAATACAACTGTGGCACATCTAACGTGACTTGCTTGCCAACCACTATGAGATCACATAGTCTTCCATCTGTATTGAATGATGTTTCAGGAGGATCTATGCCTTCAAGTGACCATAATGAATGCCAGTTCTGGGTACAGCCTGGGGATTTAAATGGTCTCAAAGGGCAGATGGTAAGGTTGCTCGAACTTTTTGGAGGATGCCTGCCTCTTGCCCGAGTTCCAGCAGAGTACCAGAAAATTTATGGGAGACCTCTTTATGTCGCTGAATATGGGGCAATAAAGTTGGTCAATCTTTTCAAGAAGATGGGTGATGCTATTGCTGTGGAAGGGAAAGGGAATCGTAAATTTGTGTATCTTAGAAACTGGAAGGCAGGCCCAAGTGCTCCTCCTCTGTCTCTGGCAAAGAAGGATAATAAGAAAGGAAAGGGAGCCCAGGAAGAGAATCTGAATGTTGTCACTGGTGGATGCTCTTCTGATGAGTTCTCGGATGAGGAAAGAGTAGTCACAGAAGAACATGATGAAAAAAGTTACACAGGAAAGGGCAATCAGGGAAGAGTAGTCAAATGTGAAGTTGATGACCGTGTTATTGAGCAGTTCAAGAATGAGCTGCAAGAGATTCTAGTATGCTATTCTTGCCGTATATTCTTAGGCTGTTTTGAGGCTATATACCAGCAACGATACAAGAAAGAACTGGATTATCAGAGATTTGGTGTTCACAAGTTGGAAGATTTGTTTGAGAAAGTGAGTGATGTGGTAGTATTGCATGAGGAACCAGTAAGCAAGAGGAAGTTCCTGGCTGCTGTGGGTAGTTAGAAAACTTGGCAATGGACTGCTAGTTATTTTAACCGTTCTGGTGTTTTAAACTTATGCTCAGGAAATATTTGTTCTCTGTAGCAACTTCATCCTTTTTTCAGTTTATTTATTCCTTAGAAGTCATGTAAAAATGATATGCTGGGCGTATGTGTTTTTTTTCAGTCACTGTCCTGCATCTATTTGGATCTTCTCTAAAATTTGTGTTATTTCCAGTCTCTGTAACCGATTAGCTACTTGTAGGAGTCGGGAGACATGTACAAGTAATAGCTTTTGTACTTCTATCTTGTATCCTATCTCAATATACAATTCTTCCATACATATTGACTAATCGTGATACTGTTTACTAGTTGAACATCGTTCTTTTTATGGCTCTGCCGTACCTAGAAATTTCAGTTGGAGTTCATTGATTATGGCAGTTACTTAATTTCTTAATAAGTAGAAACTAAAGTGGTTGTCCTTTATGAAAATAACGATCAACACCTAACTAGTAATTAGAAAAAATTTGACGAAATAAAACTTGTAAACTTGAACTTTTAATATCAATCAACGCTTCTACTAATGTCACATAGGGTTGCCTCTGCATAAATGGTAGCAGGGCTCATCAGACAGGAAGCAGCGGGAGGATTTTAGTCAAGAAAGGTACATGGCTTATGCATTCATAGTTTACAACTTCTCAAACAGTCATACAAAGACCTGGGAGCTTCACCTTGGGAACCATGCCTAGCAAAGAGGAAATTTGCATGCATGGCTGTGAAATTAAAATCTGTCACCCAAAAAACCTCAGTTAAATGTTTGAAAGGTCTTCTAAAGCAATTTCTTAAAGTGATATAATCATAAACAATGCTCGTATTCCATAACTTAAACTATGTGCAACATCAAGTCAATGCGGATGATAGATAAAAGCAAAGAAAGTACTATATTTCAAATTTCTCCCAGGATTCTAACATATTGATGTTTTTTTGTCTCTCCTACTTCTAACAAATCCACAAATTACAAGTCAGTGAGTAAATGAGAAATTCAAAATTCAAGTCAACTTGAAGAACCTAAAGATTGTTTCAGACAGAGAACAAATTTGGCGGGGACTGTGGAGAGCCACTCTCAAGCAAAAAGCTCCTACTGCAATATGACCGAGATGTACTTGAAGATGAAGCTAGATATCTTCCATCTCCGCTGTGAAACATTGCTTCGTTTCTGAGCATTTTCCCCTTGCTTCTTCTGCCTCTATGCTGACTTCCCTGACATTCTTCATCTTCAACAGCTTGTAGAAACTCACTGTGCATTGGTTCTGATGTCTCATACAGAAGCCTAAGTACCTGTTTTATTGAAGGCCTTGCCTTTCCTTCTCTCTGGGTGCACCATACTACTATAGTGATCACTGTTTGGAGCTGATCCAAGTCAAAAGATTCTCTCACATTGGGATCTACTAGCTCCAATAGTCTCGTTTCTGATTCCATGTATGGTTGTGCCCATTCTATCAAATTCTTGTTATCTTGAATAGCTCGTCTTCCTGTCACAATTTCAAGTAGTAACACCCCAAAACTGTATATATCACTTTTCTCGGTGAGCTCTTGAGTAACAACATATTCAGGATCCATATAACCTGGAATTGAATTTAACATCCAAAATGAAGTATTGTCAATGGAGAAGGTTTGTAGCTATAGTTCCTTAGAGACTATAGAACACCAATACTTCAATTTGCTTCATGTATCCATATCCTTATCCGATAGTCTTGAAAACTTCACTAATACATATCCGTGAAATTCCAAACTTTTAAAAAATATTATGAAAATCTTATCTAATCTCCATATTTTTGAATACTTTATTATTACTTATCAATGGTACGTATCAATGAAGTATTTAAATCTTTAAAAGTTTATTATGTATTTATTTCAGTTAAATAAAACATATAAACATGATAAACTAAAAATGTAAATGTCTTCTTTATGAATGATTTTAAGAAAAAAAATGAGTTTGATAATATTTCTATTTGTATATAATATATGAAGTAATTTATGATAAAATGATTTATAATTTATTCATTTTTAGTAATTTACAAGAAGTATGTTTTTGATTTAGATTTGCAAAATTGCATTTATATAATTATTATATTTATAAATTTTAATCAAAATTACAATTATATATTTGTTATATTTTATGAATATTGATACATACGAAGTATCTTACACATCATATTCTATATATTATAAAATAATAGTATTGCCGTGTCGGATACAAATCATATCCAATACACATACTGTATCTGTACATCCTTTGAATCGCGTACAAAGACAAAATCAGCCAAGTGAAATATAGTGAAGAAGGAAAGAATTTTCTACCAGGAGTTCCCCGAATTTCGGTGTTTACAGGTTCAAAGCATATTGAACCATCTTTTGAAGCTTGTGCAAGGCCAAAATCAGCTATCTGTGACATGACGTAATACAGGAAAAGGGAGTTAGTTAACACTTTACAGCAATGATGGGACAGTGTAGATTTGCACTATCCATATATGAATGACATCATAGAAATTTAGCACTACTTTGAACTATTGAACTACAAAGAATATTGACAGGAGAAATGGTGGCATGCAGTGGGAGAGTCATCCAACCTTAGCAACAAAGTTCTCATCCAGTAAAGTGTTGCTAGATTTAATATCTCTGTGACACAGAGGAGGATCGCAATAAAAATGAAGGTACTCCTGCACATGAGAGAATACGAGATTGAAAAGTAAAATCCATAAAATAAAATAATAATAAAAGGATTAAAAACAGCCAGCCAGTCAATACATATAAAGCTTGAATTTAAGCCAATCAGACATATTACCAATGCATTGGCCACATCAATTGCAATTTGAATTCTAGTTCGCCAACTTAAAGGTGTTTTACCTGGGGCTGCACAAATCAACAAAAATATATCACGTGATTAAAGGGTCAATAGGATAAACAAGCTAAGATATTGATTTGCTTCCTCACTACTTTAATGCTATTAATTTGTTGCATATGTTTTATTGTCATGTTCATTATGGCTAAAAGTGCTGAATTAGAAAAAGATGCAGAAGAGCACATAAGATCCACATGAAACTGAATACAAACACAGAGGGGGGCGGGGGGGAGATAGAAGTGCCAATGTTCCATTTGTAATCTTACCAGATATTAACCAAAATATGTTTTATTCAAAACAGTGCGTGTATTTTTTTTTAAGGTATAATAACATTGTATAGATATTGAGAGGCATACAATGAAGATGATCTTTCAAGCTTCCATTTCCCATGTACTCATACAAAAGAAACCTGCCATAGACATGCAGAAGGGTTTGATTCATTGGTATATGATGTCAAAGAATGTAATAAGCACACAGAAACAGATACCTCTCCTGTTTTTTAATGCAAAAGCCTCTTAAAGCAACAAGATGCCGATGGTGCAGCCGAGCAAGAAGCTCAATTTCTCTGCAGAACTCATCCTCCCCCTGCTCAGAGATTCTGTTCATCCGTTTTACTGCTACGACCTGGCCATCAGAAAAATGAGCTTTATACACTGTTCCAAATCCCCCTTGACCAATAATAGTGCTAAAATCCTCTGTTGCCTTTTTTATCTCCTTGTAGCTGAATTTTCGGAACATAGATGAAGAACCTGCATACCACCCGTCACCCCAAACAAGAAGCAAAGTAAGAAAAAAAATAAAGTGCTGGTTTCAATATATCACTGCTAAGAAAGAAAATAAACTGAACAAATGTGATCAACCAGAACCTTACCTTCCTGAAATTTCCACGTTGCAAAAGGAGGTAAGGTTTTTGAGCCGGTTTTACCAAAATTATCAGGTTCGTCTAGCTCTCTGCTTTTCTGGCGAATTAGAACTATCAAGACTATGAGTGTGATAACAGCAACAGCTGTAACTGCGATAGCAATACCTGGAACTAGTGTCAGATGATATGAATGATTGCTTCCCTTTAAAGGAGCACTTAACAATGGTTGACTTGGGCCACCAGCAACCAGAGGGCTTGGAGAAGCCTTAGGCGCAGGCAAGGATGGGGATGACTCTGAAACTGGCATCACAGTTGCAAAAATATGATCAGCTAAAAATTTACTTTATTGGTAACAATACGCAGACTTCAATATATTTGTGGAATGAATATTTAATAGTGTTGAAATGAAAACAAAAAAGAGCATTCATTTGGCAATTGGCACATATTAATTATTAGAACTAGTATTTGTACAGTTTTTCAAGCACAATCCAGTTAATACTGTTTTTATTCTTGTCCTGACATACCAGTGGAAAGGTGTTTGTGCAACAATTGATTATTTAGTGAGAAGTGATTATGAAGAGAATCTATAACATTTTAAAGCGGAGATTTCATCTATATTTTTGGCTTCACGTCATAATAAGTCTCATACACATAGTTACGTAATGTATGTAGTAGCATTAACACGTGAAAAAACTCGTGCACACAGAGACCTGAAGAGGGAGAGCATCATACTGATTCTCGTTAAGATTTTTTAATTTAAAACCGTTCTTACCAGGAGACTTGAGAAGTCCTTGAACTCCAAAGAAACAAATTGCGATGTCAATAGTAGATATCTCATCAACTTGGCTTGCTAGTGCAGCAAAAGTGGCATCACGACATGTACTCAGTGTTATATTGTCTTCTATTCCAAGATGATGCAGATAACCAATGCCAGCATTTAAGCACTTCTTACATTTACTTTCCTCTCCTAGTGGCACTTTGCAGTTTTTTGTGACCTCCGTAAATCTGGGGGATTGCAGCATATGGACAACACTAGTTCTCCCCTTGCATTCATAATTAACAGGAAGTTTTGTCCCAAAACTACAGAAAGCTGTTGCATTTTGTGAAACTCCGTAAAGTTGCAAAGTTTGAGATATGGTTTGCAGGCAGATGTCAGATGTATTCAGAGGGACCCCTAAGTTGCCTGTTGCATTTGCAAAACGGGCTACAGAAATTGCAACATTAGTATTAATGTAACGGCAACATTTTCCCCGGTCACCATGGTTAGAACATAAAGAGGATGCCAGTGTGAAGTTTGAATTAGTGAAGTCCAAAGGGCAATCTGCAAAAGAAGGGGCAGTGATATTAGATCATCAAATCACATTTATAATCCTTTATCTCAATCATCTGTATTGCCAACAGTTTACTGCCAATACATTTTAAAAGATTGACCAGTCATGTTATGTCCCATAAAATTAACACGCAGCTGCAATTCTCAAGACTCAAGATATAAAGATACCAGTTTTGCTAACCACTACCTTAAGGGCAATGGTGCAAAAATCAAAACTGAAATTTTTAATTGAATATTACCAATGCATCT